ACCCACCCATCCATTCCCAGAAAAGCTTTTGTTCTTTCCATGTACCCTTGTTATGTAATTCATTTCCCTACTAGGTCAATATTAGCAAACAGCTATACTAGTAACCCTATAGATCATTGTAGTTTTGTTGTAATGTTGTACCCACATTATGACTTTGCTCTATAAATCACCCTTAAAAAGGGGCCTTGGTAGCTACCTATTCAAGGCCCCCCTGGAAACCCAAGAGCTATTCTTCTTCTGCTTGCTTCCAACAAAACTCTCCTGATTTCTTCTTTTGTTTTGCCACTTCATTCTTCAATGTAAGGGCACCACACATTCTCAGAGTGAATATTTCCTACTCTTCTGTGTTTCTTAGAATTCATCCTTTGATTTTGGGGAACAGAAACTCAGTGTATCTGACATCTAACAGGTTGGGAGTTATAATATTTCTTCTATATAATTTGGAGGTCCAATATTATTCATGTATTAGAAGTAGCGCAAGAAAATAATCTTTAGGAAGATGGGATGATTAAGTAATACAGTACAACCAGAAGCCTGTACTAGTATATCATAGAGAACATGGTTCTCTAGAAATATCACCATAGGGGCCTCAGATGTGCAAATGAGCGTCAGGACTTGGAAGAGAGCCCAGGACCAGGGTCAGGGAGAACATCCCTGGACTGCTTCTCTGGGGGTGCTTTGTACAGCAGATAACTAACATTTTCAGCACCAACTCTGTCAGGCACCACACCCATGTTTTATAATTCAACCTTGCAACTATCTTTGTTTAAAGGTAAACAGAAGAGACACTTAGGAACAAAAATAACTTTCCCTAAATATTGATGTCCCTTCCACTCACACTGTATGTGTGTGCGTATTTCCCATCAGCTATTTTTTTATTTTTTATTTTGAGATAGTAAGCCTCTAAATTGCCCAGGCTGGGGTCAAATTTGGGATCTTTCTGCCTCAGCCTTCCAGAGTAATGGGATTACAGATTGTTGCCACCACAGCTGGTTACTCCCCACATCTTTAAGTGTCTCTTGGGAGGGACAGCTATTAAGACAGGATGATCATGTCTCCAGGTTTTCTGTAATAGCCTCTCACGTGCATGAAGGCAATGTTTCTCCTGTGGACAATGTTTCAATTTTTCACTTTATTCTTTTGCTTCCTTGCCTGTTCCTACTCTTGCCCTACAGGACTCAGCTTCTCCAGCTTCTACTTATCTCCCTTGGTTCTCTGAGAACCAATCATATGGGTCTCCTTCTGCATCTCAGCGGGGCTGGCTACTCATCTGCACCTTTGACCTTTGCTATTTCTTTCCCTTGGGTTCCCCTCCAGTCCTCACCAGAGATATCCTCTCATCACTCATGTGTCACTCAGGTGTCTCCATCAGGTGACCACCAACTAAAGCAGCCCTACGTCCAACTCTCTAGTGTACCATTCCATTGGATCTCATTTGGGGCTCTTAACTGCCCTCAAACCATGCAACATGAATACTGTGTACACAGCAGATTTCCTTCAACAAGGAATTTGGAGAATGTCTTCAGGGATCATAGCCTCCCTAACAAGATGTTGTGCTCAACATAGGTTGATCACGGCCTCACAGCTGCTGCTTTGTGCCCATCCTCTGGGAAATGTCAAAGTGAAGCTTCTGGCTCTTTATTCTGATAGTCTTGATCTTCACCAGTTTTAAGGCTAATCAAAAACCGTTCACTGAACCCATAACTTCTCAAACAGCTGTGTTACTTTTCTCTGACATCTAGAATACCTGCAGCAGGACAGGGCCCTCTGAATGATGGTGAATAGAAAGGGCTGTGTACATAATTAAAATGTGATATTTCAAGTCTTTAGCTTTTACAATGCAAATTAGGGAAAGTAAAAGTCAATGTTGGTAAATTTTACTCATGGTTGTTATGCAAGGAGCCCAGCTCTGAGTTGTGCCCCTGTGGAGGGCATAACAGGTGCCCAAAGCAGAAACAGGTCTTCATGGGACTTTTATGATTAGTGGGAGGAAACAAAGGCAGTATAAGCTCAAGGAGAAAAAATACTGATGGAACCAAATGTTGCCCTTATGAGTGTCAGTTCCAGGATGTCCATAGGTCCTGCAGGTGTGACAGTCTGTTTAGATAGGTGATGAGCTCAGTCCTGTAAAACTGGGGGAGTCATTGGAAGAGATGTGGGTTTGGGGTACATGTTGTCTTTTTAAAAACAAATCTCCTTTATCTTTAAAGATGATGGCAAGATTGGGTCACGTTTTAATATGACTCGTGGTTGACACAGGAGGTGTTAGGTGTACTAATTCCTGTGATATCAGAGCTTCACATGTAGATATATTGGGGTTTTGCTCAGCACCTGGCACTGCCAGGGATCCAACACTTTCCCTGAAGCTGACCCTCAGTTGTGGCTGCATGCATTGTCATTACAAGGTGGGGATGAGCCGGATGAATTGTTCAGGTCTTGGTTTCTGGAAACCAATGAATCACAGACTTGTTCAGCTGGTTTTCTCGGTGCACAGAAGGGGCATGGCTTCCAGAGGACCTAATGCCTCTGATCACAGAGAGCCTAGGGGACACAATCAAATTCTTCTGCTGGGAGTTTTGGCTGGGGAGGACTTGAGTACTGAGGTTCTGTGACTCAAACTCAGGACCATCCTGGTCTCCTGGAAGAGAGGGGACCTCCTGCTGCTCATTTCCCAGAATACTGCATGGAAAACTGAGTCTCATGCGGGGGAAGAAAACAGGAGAATTACACTGATGTGCTCCGGAGTTTGTGACGACGTCTGCTTGTCGTTAGATCTGAAGTCCAGAAGGGAGACTGCTCAGCTGCACTCTTCTCTTACAGGACAAAAGTGATAAACAGTGTGGTAAGTGTAATGGGAGCAGGAAAGGAATGAGGGAAGACACACACTGAAAGACAGAAATGTTCAGGATGGCTTGTGGGTCAAAGATTGTTTCCTACAGAATTTGGCCAAGAAAGGAGGAGATGCTTTTTCCTTACATTCTGCCTGGGAGAATTAAGAGGGAGTTCCTGAGAGTGGGTAAGGCTAGGGGCTATGTCTTTATATGTCAGTGTCCAGGTCCAGTTATGGAGTTCCCATTGCTTTACATCCTCATCAACATTTGGTGTTTTTATTTGGGTCATTCTCATAGGTGTGTGTGTGACCCATCACTGAGCTTCCCTCTGCAGTATTTGTTTTTAGCTTTCAAGGCTACTTTATTAGATTCACCTATGCTTTGACTTACTGAATGTTCTTCTCATACAGCGCCCTGTCATTGATGGCAGTGATGATGATCTGTAACTGTGTATGTATTTGTTAGCAAGGTCATCTGGCAAACATTTGTCTTTATCATTATGCTGGGCTCTAAGCGATGAGAGACCATTTCTATTTTACTCATATTGGGAATATTCCCAGGACAGGGCTTGGCATCTAAGAGGTATTCATTAAAAGCTTGCTGACTGAGTAGTAACTGAATGAACAAGTCCACTTACATATGTTTACCTTTGGGAAGGGAAAATCTTGCTCTTTGTACCTCCAGCTGACTAACTGGGTGCTCAATAGTTTTCTTGACATTGGCAGTAGCAGATAGTCTAGGAATCTCATCACTGCTCCCTGATGGTCATCTGCTAGGTAGTTGCTTAAGTACAAGTTAGGATCCATTCCAGGCATCTTCCGTGTGTGTGTATGCTGCTTGCTTGTGTGCTTGTGATGAAGACCTAAATCTCTTTGGGAAGGTCTCAAACCACTGTGTGTCACTCTCTTTGCATGACATATTTAGGCCCATTTAGTCCCTTCTGTAGGAGTGAAGGGACTCCACAAGGAAAACCCACCTTGTCCTCATAAGTACACTGAACACACCCAGAATGATGTGTACATGCACACTTCATTCTCTGGAATTTTTCAACCACCTCCCCTTTCTTTGCCGTGACTCATGGCTTCTCATGTCACCTTCTCTGCTTTCTTCACACCCACTGCTCCATGCCTCCCTTCACTCACCTCACTTCCTGGCAAAGAAGCCAGCTAAGAATTGCTTTCATGACTTGTACACAGCACTTTCTTGAGCTGCTCTGAGTGTGGGAACTGTGAGCTCTCATAGGGACCACCTTGGCCCTTGCTCTTTTCGTATATGTAGCCTTGATCTTCAGTAGAAGACCAGGATCTGATCACTTCTCCTCACTTCACCTGCAATATCTTGATCCAATTCACTGTCAAATTTATGTCGATTATTGCAAAACCATCCCAACTAATCCCAGCTAGTCCCTCTGCCTCCACCCAGATTGCCTCACTGCAGCCTCATCACCATTGTTACCACAGGGAAGATGTGAAAATGTGTACCAGATACGTCACTTGTGGACTCAAACCCTGTTGAGGACTCCTATTCTCATAGGAGGTCAGAGAGAGAAGACAAAGATCAACTGGAGCCAAAAGGGGAACAATTTGGCCCCTGTTTCTTCTGACCTCATCATCTTTCTCTTTGCTTTTCACCTCTTGAGGCATGCCTGGCTTCAGAGACTTTGCACTAGCTGGTTGCTCTATCTGGAATATTCTCCTTATATGCTCCTTCTTTATACCTAACTCCTTTAAGTTTAGTTCAAATGTTACTTGTAAGTGAGGCCTTTTTGCAAAATGTATAAAATTCCCAATACCATCCTTACCTATACCACCACCATAGCCCTTTAACGTTGGCTCAGCCTTCCCTCTGGCTCTTCAGTTGGAGAGAGAAATGAACCTTCCTCCTTCCTGTCCGCTAGAGAGTTCCTGAGTTAGAGATGATGGCCACTGGCTTTGTTTCTACAACCAGGAGGAGCAGTGAATTTCACAGCAGTGCTTCTGTTAGAAACCCAGGCTGCCTTTAGAGCACTTAATTTGAGAGAGCTATGACCTGGTTACCATTCTGAGTTAAGCCTTGACTATCTAATGATTAGTTATTTTCCTTTATGAAAATAACTGCAGTCCATGCGTTAACCCTTCTCTTCCTCTTCCCAGTTAATCTCTGTGTTCCCCGCTATCTGCACCTAGCAACATGTCCTCCATATTAGAGCGGGTTAGCAAGAGCATGATCAAAAATCTTGGAGGCAAAGATCTGACACCTGTCAAATGTGTACTGGATGCCACCAAATTCCGTCAGTTTAGTATATTACGGAAGAAGACTTCATTCTGGCCATGGGGACAATCTGATGACATTCCTGTGGAATATTCCCTCATGGACATCCTGGAACCAAGTTCTTCATTCCCAGGTATTTTCAATCAGATGGAAAAGATGCATGGTGTAATAAACAATGTTCTCAAATAATGTATACCATCCCAGAATCCCCAAGATACCTAGACAAGCAGACCCCAGCATCCACCTTGCCTAAAGGTAAGGGATAAGGTGCTAATATTATTTGAGAATCTACTAATATCTGGACCCTGGTATTCATTAGGTCTTACAATGTTTACAAGAGCCTCACGAGTGGCTCCATTTTCTGTAAAAGTAAATAGAAACTTATAAAATAATTTGTTCAAAGTTACACAGCTGGGAACTGGTAGAGCTGGGACACAAACCCAGGTCAGTGTGTCTCCAAATCCTGAACATTTTCCATTCCCATGAGCTTCCCCTTGTGGTGGGATGCTGTGCTGTGGCCTCCTGGACCCTATACATTGGTGCCACCATTTCTTAGGGATGAAACATATCCCTGTTGTGAAATGCTTGGATGGATTGGAACACCTGTCCTTTTGTGATAATTTATATATGTAATATTAATTTATTAGTTATCTTCTTGATTTAAGAGATTTAAATGAATGAGAGAGTTGGGGCAAAAATTGCCCTCATTTTTTCCATTTCCTTCACCAACTGTTCCATGATGAATTCTTGGCTAACCCTGTATGGTCCCCTTTTCTCTTCCCAGAATGTGTCAGGTCTGGACCATTTCACACCAAGGACTTTGAGACCAAGAAGCTGAAGGCTGATGTGGGTGTCAACGCTGGTGCAGAAGTGAGAATGTCAGGAGAGATCGCTCAGTCCCATAAATCCAACCTTGAGATTCAGAGTGTTAGTGTCCCAAAACCCAACCTGGAAATGCTTCAAAACAGGTGAGGCCACTGGAGGAGGAAGGGACAGGTCACTAGAGTCCCAAGGGCTCCCCTCTTGATGGCGAAGAGGCCTCTTGCAGGATTTGCTGCTGGGATCAGAATGAAGAGAATGAGGTCCCTGATTATGCTGCTCTTCAGTATTCATTCCTTCATTCATGTAATGGCTGATAGTTACCTAATATATGTCTATGAGGGCAGTGTTTACCTATTATTTTAGTATTCTTGGGGATAGAATGACAAGGGAGACAAATATCCCTTTCCCAAAGCAGCTTATATTTAGTGGAGCTGAGATGGACAGCTAACAAACACTAAAAATAGGTCAGTAGCAAGGCATGGTGGCACATGCCTAGATTCCTACAATCTGGGAGGCAAGAGGATTATATGTTTCAACTCAGCCTGGGCCTTTTGGCATCTTTGTGAGACCCTGTCTCATGAATAAAAAAATAAAACATAGGCTGTGGATATAGGTCCATGTGAAGGTTACAGGTTCAATCCTCAGTACTAGAAAAACGAAAGAAGAGCAAATTTATAAGGAGACAAAGATGCTAAAACTCTTTAAATCACAAACATCTTGGTGTCTTGGCATTATTTTAAAATTATTTTTTCCAAGCTCAATTGGGCATAACTGAGAAATAAAATTGTGTAAATCTAAGATCTACAGAATGATCATTTGGAAATATATGTGACTCACTGACTACAATCAAGTCAAACACCACATCAGTTGACACCTTTTTGTTTTTCAGGTTTGGTTTGTAGTTTTAGTACCTACTGCCTTAGCACATTTCAGTGTACAACACTATATCGTTAGCTACATTCAGCGTACAGTGCCTCAGAACATATGCCAGGGACAACTCCACTGGAGTCTGGATCCTTTTAATCTACAGTTAAATTTGGTTTGCTGGGAGTCTAACTAAGAATTTTTGCATCAACCTTCACCATGTACACTGGCCTGTACTCTTCTTTAATGTCCTGCTTAGCTTTGATAGAAGGGTAATGCTAGTTGTGTACCCTGAGCACTGTGGTTTAGATTTGTGGTGTTCCTCAGAAGCCTGTTGGAAGATGTTGGACGGTGATTGGAGGAAGGTGTTGGAAGGTGATTGGAAGGTGTTGGAAGATGACTGGAAGTAGTTGGAAGGTGTTGGAAGGTGATTGGAAGGTGATTGGAAGGTGATTGGAAGGTGTTGGAAGGTGATTGGAAGGTAATTGGAAGGTGATTGGAAGGTGTTGGAAGGTGATTGGAAGGTGTTGGAAGATGACTGGAAGTAATTGGAAGGGATTGGAAGGTGATTGGAAGGTGTTGGAAGGTGATTGGAAGGTGATTGGAAGGTGTTGGAAGGTGATTGGAAGGTGTTGGAAGGTGTTGGAAGGTGATTGGAAGGTGATTGGAAGGTTTTGGAAGATGGCTGGAAGTAGTTGGAAGGTGTTGGAAGGTGATGGAAGGTGATTGGAAGGTGTTGGAAGGTATTGGAAGGTGATTGGAAGGTGTTGGAAGGTGTTGGAAGGTGATTGGAAGGTGACTGAATCTTGGGTTGCTGTACTCTTCAGTGGATTTGTCCACTTTCATTTGTAGCTGCCTTGTGGTGATGAAAAGAGGGAGTGTTTCCCACCTTTTGATTTTTGATCTATAAGTTTATTTTGGGATTAGATGAGTTTCTTGAGTGAGACAGACTGCTGGCTTCTGTTTTGTGATCTAGTGTCCCAATCTAAGTCTTTTTGTTGTAGAATTGAGGCCATTTGTATTATTACTGAAAGGTGCTGAGTTTTTCCTATCATTGTGTTCTTTTAGTTGTTGCATCCTTTATTTTTTCTTTTGTGTTTAACTACTCACCTTGCTTGGTATGTTCATTCCATCTGACCTTCTGGCTTTGTTGACTATCTTGTCTCTGTCTAGCATATTCTTCCCCCCACCCCCCATGAAGTCTATTGGTACATTTAAAGCAGACAATACAGTTACATTTATCATTGGGATCTTGTACCTTTACATGATATGTCTTAGTTCTTATTTTCCCCATTCCCCTGCCCTCCCTTCACCCACTTCACCCTTCCCTATTTACAATGACTTTGTTTCCATCTTTTCCTCTTTGTTTAGCATAGTCTTGCCTGTTGTTTGGGGTGTTAAATTTGGTGTTCATGTGTCTTTCAACGTGTCCTTCGTTGTAGAATGTTCTTATTTCTACATCAACAGTTTTGAGACAGAGTCTCACTCTGTAGTTCAGGCTGACCTTGAATTATGTAGCCCACGTTGGCCTCAGACTTCTGCCTCAGCCTCCCAAGCACTGGGGTTACAAGTGTGTGCCACCATGCCTGGCTCTCTCCATCAGTTTTGCAAAATAGGAAGCGTAGGGCCCAGCCACCCAGGCAGTTGGTGCAGCGGTGCTTGGGTGAGTGCATTCACCGCACCTGTTCCGGCGCTGCCGGGCCCAGCTCCAGCCCGTCTCAGCCCTGGCAGGGCCGCTTGGGATGGCCTGGGACTCCCCCGGCTGCCTGCCACCAAGGAGCTGGAGGACAGCGTGGTGTACTTACGGGGGAGCCATGATGTCGGAGCGGGTGTCGGGCCTGGCCGGCTGCATCTACTGCCAGTTCAAGAGGCTCATCGGGCGCTACAATGAGCAGGCGGTCCAGGAATGGATGCCATTCCTTGGTGGTGCTGGAAACCTGGACTCCGTGTTCTCGCAGGATCCGGGGCTCCGGGTGGAGCTCGAGTTGCTGCAGGACCGCGGGAAGCAGCTTAGCTCCCAGTACAGCAAGAGCAGGTGCCATGCAAGCATGCGAGGAGAAATTAACCGAGTGTGAAGACTCTCAAGAACAGGAAAACAAGCATTTTCAGCCCCGGGTGGAATCTCTAGAATCTCAAACAAGACAGCTTGAGCTCAAAGCAAAAAACCGCTGACCGGATTAGCAGATTCGAAGAAAGAGAAGCAGTACTGAAGAAGGAATACAGCGCATTGCCTCAAAGAAGCAGCAAGGTGATCCAGAGTTATATGGAGCACTTAGAAAGCAGGAAACTTTGTCAGCTGTCAGGAAGTGACCCCTGAGAGTCCACCGCTCACAGTCGGATTAGAAAACAGCGCCCTATAACATTAGGGATGTTCCCCTTGCCCGTTGGACAGGAGCTGATGGACCTGGACACTCGGAAGGGCTGCAAGACCTGGGATCCGAGCCTCGGAAATCCCAGGAGCTGAGCCAGCTGCTCGCTCACCAGTCCGAAGGATGAACTTTCTGGGCTTAGCTGAGGTGGAGCTAAAGCTACTACTCCCGCATTGACAGCCACTTCCCCCGGATTCGCCCTTGGTGGAAGAGAGCCAGGGGTTGGCCAAGGGCACAGGCGCCCCAAGCAAGTTAGAACAGAGCAAGCACATTGAAGTGCAGGGTGCCCAGGAGACTAGGGCTTGGTCCACAGGCTCTGCTGAAAACGGGGATAAGCCGGAAGCCCAAGCGACCACTGAGTCCACTCCTGAACTGGATATGGACAAAGATGTCAGTGGATGCAGAAGTGCCAGCCCTCGGACCAAAGGCCTAGAGAACAAAGCTCCTGAGGCCACTCAGAGAAGAGCTGTCTTCCGCCGGCGCCAGCCTCCTTGGAGACGTGGATGAAGGCGCGGATTTACTAGGAATGGGTAGGGAAGTTGAGAATCTTGTACTAGGAAATGCACAACTTTTGGGAACCCAAAATGATTTGAATGTAGTGAAGAATGAAGAACCTGACAGCCGAAGTGGACCAGCTGACATATGAGAAGGATGCGCTGCACGGGCAGCTGGAGGCTGTGAAACAAGCCGAGCTGGAGCCAGAGGAGAACAGAGGACTGGAAGGAGGAGCACAGGAAAGTCCGTGCCGCAGCTGAAGATGCAAGGCCAAAAGCAAAAGATGACGGCGATAGGGATAGCCCCACAGCCTACAGGGAGAGGTTCATGCGCGAGAAGACGTCCTGTGTGCTCAAGGAGAGGAACCTGTTCAAAGAGAGACAGGGAGCTCAGGGAAGCAGTTCCATGGAAAGAGATGATACAGGCATCAGGAGAAAATTCAGCCACTAGGGGAAATAAAAGGTTAAGCATCTGGCAGGTTTTCAGCTCTTCAAGTGACATGACAAAGAAGTCCGAGCGCCCTGTTAATCTGAAAACCCACACACCTCACTCATGACCCCGTCCCTCAAGAAAAGAAGCAGCACCTTGGAACAAGTCCAAAGCCTTCAATTTCCTAAGGGAAGAAACTGAGACTAGTTCAGCCTCACGAAGAAGAGCAGAAGAGAGGTCAGTGCCAGCGGGTACAGGCACACGTGGGGAAGGAGGATGGTCGGGTACAGGTGTTTGGCTGGAGTCTGCCTCAGAAGTACAAACAGGAGACCAATGGCCAAGGGGAAAATGAGCTGAGAAATTTACCTGTGCCTTCTGTTTCCGACCTCTTGATGAAAAAGATGCATCCGTGAAGCTGTGGTATGCGGTTGGAGTTAATTTATCTGTTGGGAAGACCAGGAAAGGCTGGTCTGTTGTTGGAGCAAGTATGTTTTACAAGGATGTTGCCAGTTTGGACATGGGAGGCAGTAAACAGTGGTGCATCTCAGGACAGCTTAGATAAGTTCAACCAGGAAATTAAGGAATAGCAGAAGGAGTTGAAGACTCATGAAGAATTATCCAGTCAGGTGTGGATCAGAACCAGCACCCACTCAGCGACAAAAGCAATCATCATACATGCCATCCAGGAGGGCAATATCCTAGATAGCTTCGCCATGTGCAACTCACACGTCTTGTGCACAGCCAGTGTCGGGGAGCCCAGGAAACAGACTCCCCCCTCAGGAGAAGAACTTTCAGAGTCTGGTCTGGCAGCCAAGGCGTCCTTGTGTGGAGCATGATGGGCAGCCACTGGGCAGAGACAGACAGCTGGTTGTGAGGCGTCACAGCGGTCAGTTGCTCGTCAGAGGGTGCGACAGGTGCTGCTGCTCCCCCTAGTACCAATGGTGCTTCCCGGTGACAGGCAAGCCCCAGAAATAGAAGTGGAACATAGC